GAGAAGAGAAGAGAAGAGAAGAGAAGAGAAGAGAAGAGAAGAGAAGAGAAGAGAAGAGAAGAGAAGAGAAGAGAAGAGAAGAGAAGAGAAGAGAAGAGAAAAGAAAAGAAAAGAAAAGAAAAAGATAAGTTACAAAATGTTATGTAGGAAACTAGTGAGTGATATGCATCAGATTTAATGGAATACATTGAAGACTTTAGAAATTATTATTTTTATTATACAGTTAATTGTCTTTTCTGTGTTTTTCTTTCCATCAGCCTGTTCAGTCCTTGGAGTTGCACAGCTGGATTCTGTGATCATTGCTTCACCTCCCATTGAAGATGGAGTTAATCTTTCCTTGGAGCATTTACAACCTTACTGGGAGGAATTAGAAAACTTAGTCCAAAGCAAGAAAATTGTTGCTATAGGCACCTCTGACTTAGACAAAACACAGTTGGAACAGTTGTATCAGTGGGCACAGGTAAAGAATGGCTAGATCCTGAGCACTTTGGAGAGGAGCTTAGCTTTATAGCCTTTGTTGTGGACTGCTGAAGATCGCACAGTGTACTCTCACTGGGAGGTAACTGAGAGTTCTGATGCAAGCTTTATCCAAAGCTTCAGGGCTTGGTTTTTTTTAAGTATAATGTCTAATTGAACTGAATGTAAGCCTAATTTAAAGTGAGTAAGAAAAACCCTAGAAAATGTTTGTTGAAGCTTTTGTATAGATGAATTAAGGCTTTTTCCATCAGTTTTTTGTATTGAATTATACTACATTTTCCTTTATGTATTATGAGGCTGTGACTAATTCGTTAAGGAAATATTACATATGACAAATATTTTGTTAGCTGGTTTTTTTTAAATTTAAAACATTTGTAAGATTCAGTTTTATAGAACTTGCTATGGAGTGTATGTAATAAATCACTCACTGGTCTAATAACCTATAAAATTATGAGTGAAGTTTCTAGTATTTTATCTTTACTCTCCATGTTTTTTTTTTTTTTTTATTCCTTTTACATCATTCTCAGCCTTCTTTTAAGAACTTCTACAGTTGCTTAGTGAAAAACTGCCCCTTCTCCTTTTGACTTAATAGATATGGTCTAGAAAGTCTAGGACAGGGTTCCAGATGGAAAGATTAACCACTGCTGCTATTAGAGGTTATCAGCTTTTTTCTTACGAAATGTATTTGATAGCCATATTTTATGTTTTAGACATTAAGTGTATTTACTTTTATTTTACTGTTTACTTTTAAGATCTGTTGCCTCTGTTACTGAAACTCTTGGATTTAGAATCATGTTTACCTTCCAGGCAGATATATAGGCAGATTGTTAACTGGTTCTAGCAGGAGACTTTTTACTATTGTAGTACTATATTAGCCTTTTTTTCTTCCTAAAGCTATGTTTCCTTTCCCTTTTACTACTAAGTGTTTAAAAAGCATATATTAATAAAAATGCTCATATTAATTTTTTAGACTTTAGGCTCTATAGAATCTGATTTTTTTATCTTAAAATTAAGCCCTTTTTATTGTTTTCTGCTTATGTATTACCTAATTCAGGAACTATGTTATGATTTTATTTTTACTTATAGGTAAAACCAAATAGTAACCAAGTTAATCTTGCCTCCTGCTGTGTGATGCCACCTGATCTGACTGCATTTGCTAAACAGTTTGACATACAGCTTTTGACTCATAATGATCCAAAAGGTAAGACTGATGACTTATTAAGTTTTTATCTTACAACACCTGCTTTACAAAAGCTCCTGTGGGCTGACAGAGTAGCTCAGTGTCAGAGTGCTTGCCTTGCATTTATGAGATCAGCAGTGCAGAAGAAAAAAGTATCATTACTGATACTTAATTTGTGTATGTAGTGATAAAGGGACAGTAGTTATTTTCCAGAAGTATCCTACTTAACTAATATAAATAACTCCAAAAAGAGACAAATATACTTTTAACAAAACTTAGTAAGCATAGTATAATTGATCAGATTTTATCAATTATCACTATCAAAATGTTTAATCTTAATCAGAAACATTATTGATTAATAAGAAAGGCTTATCTGTTCTCTGTAGAATAGTTTTTATTAACATTTGGCAGGGTATGGCTGGGGATATAGCTCAGCAGTGTGAGCGCCTGCCTAGCAAGGGTAAGGTCCTGAGTTCGATCCCTAGTACTGCAAAAATAAAAAAAATTAAAAAAATCCAAAACATTTGATAGGGTAACTAGAAAAGCTGAAAAGATTTTAAATATAACTTGCAAACAAATGTTTCATGAGAAATTTTAGAAAGAATAATCATTTTAGAGAAAGCCTAATAAGGTATCAATATACTGATGTATCTTAAAATACAAAGCATTTGAATTTTAAACTTCCCAAATGTTGGCTGATTTTATATCAAGATCTGTTTACTTTTGGGGGTCACTGATCATAGTCATTACCACCAGCAGCTGCTGATTCAGCCTGTATCCTCTTCCACTTCCATGTGAAAAACTTTTGTCCAATAGGAAAAGACTAAGGTGTCTAGTATTTTATTTCTGTGTATCTAAACATTAGCATTTATATTATGTTCTAAAATATTGTTATAGTAAAATACATATTTTGAGGAGAGACACTTAATCCTTTTATTTTGATCCTAAACATACTAGTTAGAATTTATAGGTTGATCATCGATATGCCACTAGTTTTTAGACATTTTAATCTGTAATGAAATATTTTTCTGTTTGATTTGTTATGTTTATTGATTCATAGTTAATTTTTTTTAAAATTTATTTATTTGTGTGTGTGTGTGTGTGTGGCCAGCTCAGCCCACCAGGGGGCAGGGCTGGCTGGCATGTGGTGCCGGGGATTGAACCGCGGTTCCTGTGCTTTGCTGAGCTTGTTCTAAGTAGTTGCTTTAGACCACTGAGCCATCTCACCAGCCCCATAGTTAATTTTTTTTTTTTTTTTAAAAAGGCCTTTTTCTTTCTTTTTTGCGGAACCAGGGATTGAACTCAGACCCTTGCGCTTGCCAGGGAAGTGCTTATTCTACTGAGCCATCTCCCCAGCCCCCCATAGTTAATTTTTAAAGTATGTAGTTAATGAATAGTATAGTTCTCTGGATACATGTTAAATTATTACTCTTTATCCTATAAGTCAAAGTAACAGTTTAACCACTGTTAGGGTAAAATTGGTGATACTAACTATAAAATTTGTTTCTTATTTACTTTACCTTTCCTCCATTTCTATGAAATCAGTTGCCATTGTGCCCTGTTACCTCAGGGTCCTCTTCTTGGTGGGGAGTCTAATAAAAATCCCTAATTATTACTTATCCAAGGAGAGACTTGCAGTCTCATAATTTGCTCATATTGGAAACTATTTCTGAGCTGTGAGAGACCTTATAGAAGTAACCAAACCAAACCTCTAATAGTCTGTTTTTCCTTACAAATAATACTTTTTAAAATTTTTTTTTTATTTTTTTGTGTATTTAGTACAGGGTTTACAGGGTCTCACCACGTAGATCAGACTTGTAGTGATCCTCTTGTTTTCAGCCTCCCAAGCACTGGGATTAGAGGTGCATGCCACCACACCCAGTCTTAATTGCAGTCTCAGTGCCGGCATAGCACACCGGGGATCAGACCCCAGTCCCTATGCTTGCCTAAATAGGCATTTTAATCCACTGAGCTATCTGGCTGGCCCTACAAATAATACTTCCTAAAACATAGGATAAACATGTGAGTTTGAGTAGCTCGGACTCCTAGTGATCTTCCTGTTTTCAGCCTCCCCAGCACTGGGATTATAGGTGTGCATCACCATGCCAGGTCTCTGTGGCCAGCTCAGTGCACCTGTGGGTGGGACTGGCACAGCCTGTGGTGCTAAGAATCAAACCCCTATCCCTGCACTTGCCTAAGCAGGCACTTAGTTTGCTGAGCTATCTGGCCTGCCCCTGATAATTACTGTTAATGCTGCCAAGTATCTACAGCAGTTCACTGGGTAATAGGTCCTTTAGCACTCCCAAAGTGACCATAATAATATTTTGGTCACTTACTTCCTATCTGTATGGTTGATTCTCACCCTTAGAGCATCTTCCATCTTGATTCATTTAACAGACATTTATATTTTGTTTTGATGTGCTTCATTTGTTGTATTTAAATAATTACCTATAGAGTAAATATGCTTTTGCTTTGAATTTAATACTGTGGGGTTTTATTGTTGTTGTTTTAGAACTGCTTTCTGAAGCAAGTTTCCAAGAAGCTCTTCAGGAAAGCATCCCTGACATTCAAGCACATGAGTGGGTACCACTGTGGCTACTGAGATACTCGGTCATTGTGAAAAGTAGAGGAATCATCAAATCAAAAGGCTACATTTTGCAAGCCAAAAGAAGGGGTTCTTAACTACAGCTTAGCGTTCATGACCTGTTGGCCTGTATTTTTCTTAAATATAAAATTGAGATGTGTAAAATCTAGCTATGATCTAGTAATAGTGTCATTGAAGCATATATTCTTTATTATGTTGGATAGTATGTTGTCTGTCATGTTTTGAGTACTTCTTTGGCCTCCGTGTCAGTCCATTCACATGAACCACTGTATTGTTTTTATTAAAAAATTGTTTTCTATTTGAAATTGTCTATATAAAAAATACTTGGGAAATATTTTTCCTTTATTTTTATGAGTAACAGAAATCAAGAAAATTTGTTGGTAGATATATTTTGGCCTAGGAATCAGGATAATGTATATACATATTTTTTATTTCCAAAAAAAATCATTAATTTCTTTTTACTTTACAATGTATAGCAAAGCAATTTCATTTCAGTTATTGAAACTAAAATACTGGAAGATTGTTTTCTGTCATTGATAAAATAACCATCTCTTAGAGTAATTTGAGTAGATGGGATCTAGTAGTGTAAGTAAAATTAATTCAATACATGGATAGAAAAAAAAATTTATGTTCTTGCTTGTAATTTACCTACGATTTAACCATGTATTCTTGTGCCATATTTTCTTCTTTCTAGTTGCAAAAACAAACCAAAGTAAATCTGAAGTCTAATTTTTTTTTTTTTTTTTTGTAGTACTGGGGATTAAACTCAGGATCCTGTGTTTGCCAGGCAGGCACTTTATTCCACTGAGCTATCTCCCCAGCCCCCCTAATTTTATTATTATTTGAAGGATTTATAAAAACTATTACCATCTCAATATTCTTTTTAATTCTTAATCCATCCTTGAAGTATTATTACTCACTTGAGTTGTTCAGTTATGTACACTTACATGTGCTGGGCACAGGGGGCTCTAGACAGAAGATGAAGCACAGAACCACAATCAGTTATGTGATATTTGTTTCCCATTAATAACTGAAAAGGGGGACCAAAGCCAGAAAAGTGTGAAAAAATTTTTACTTCAGGGCCAACATTGTCTATTTAGACAACTTTGTTTGAGCTGTGACCTTAACTCTTATTTTCTTTGGTGCTGCGGGTTGTACCCAGCCTCTTTGCTAAAAACATAAATGCTTACTTCTTAGCTACCCTCCAGCCTGGTCTTAACTATCTTAAACCAGAACAGTATAATCAAAACTTTAGAGCTAGAAGAGATTATAGGTCATTGAGTATAATTCACTAGCTTAAGAACCAGGAAACTGCAAATAAATAAACGATATGGAAGGTTTTCTTAATTCTATAAATTCTTAACTCAGATGGTTAAATTCTTTAAAAAAATCTCTTGTATCTCATTGTAAATCTCTTAATTTCTTGTGTCTATTAAACCATGGATCTATGTAATCTTATTTTGCTCAGATTTTCTCAGCTTAAAGAAAATAACTGTGGTTCCATATAAAAAATAAATACAGTACTATGTTTTCTTGCATAAGGTTTTATGGTTTACTGGTTGGAAAATTTGATCATTAGAATTATGTGAAATCAGTTGATTTGCTTGCCTCTTAGGCTTTGAGCTTAAGTTTTCTGGCCTTTATATTCATCATATGTAACATTAAATATAGAGTTAACTTTTTAATTTAGAAACGTACAATATGATTTCACATAAGTCCTTAAGCATGTATTTCAAATCTATGCTGTGAATTAGCTTAGATATTTTAAAGGGGAACATTAATATCATATTTATCATTTTTCAAAATCCAGAACTTAAAAAGTGGATTCTTTGAAGGGTTATTTTGAAAATGGAAAAATAACTTACTTGCTAATGTATCTGAACTTTGGTAGAAGCTGTTTTGTGGCCTCATTCACGAATATTAACAGTGAGATAGATGATAGGTTCATTTTGTGAAGGAGATTATAGAGTTTTTAAGTGAGTTTTTGATGTTTCATTCTACCTGAATATCTTTTATTGAGTAACTTTTTTAAAAAGAGTGTTTTGTTTTGTACCTGGGATTGAATTTAGGACCTTGAGCTTGTCAAGCACCACTGAGCTATGTCAGTGGCCCAAAAAATAAGATTTTAAGGCTTTGTAATTTTTCAAGCTGTTGTTTACAACTTTTTCCCATGAACTGTCAGAAATTAGTGAATAATGAATACTTTACAAATATTAAGTACTTAATATTTTAAAAGCCATAAACAAGACTGGTAACACTATCAAATAATTGGTTAAAACTCAAAGTTATCAACAGTGTATTGGACAGATATATTTTCTAGGGAAATGTGTATCTAGTAACCCAAAGTAGAAAGTTTATATAAGTTTTCCCCAGTAAATACATAAAGAAACTGTAGTTTGTTATTCCATTTCCAGAATATACTAGAGCATTACCTAATACAGTGTATTGTAACTTGGAATTTGTCCTGAGTCCTACCCATCCAAGAAGCTGTGGTCACCAGAAGGAGCACACAACGTCTTTTATATTCACCTGATATCAATTCTGAAGACCACATTGTGCCAGTACTTTTACTAGAGTGTCCACTGAGGAATAGCCCATGCTAGAAGTTGAGTCATTAGTAATAGCTAATAATTTTTCAGGTCTCAAAAAAGAAATCTTTTGGACAGCTACATATAAAATAAAAAATAAAAAGTTATTCTGTTCTACCCTGTTCAGACTTTACTGTACCACAGCCAAGTAATAACTAAAATTAGAGTCAGTTTTCAGTAATAAAAGGTCTAAGGTTCATTTAAGATTTTGTTTCCAGGTTTTCTACTCAGTATTTTCTATAAGCAACTGATATACTTACTGTATTATAGGCTGACAATTTATCTCTCCCAAATGTGCATTTAGAAAAGTGTGAAGTTGTTTGAATGAAAAATTTAAACCGTTTGTGTCATTGTTTTCATACTCAAATACACCAACTTATGATTTTGAACCTATTTTTACATTGTTGTACTAATATTTATTCTTTCCCTATAAAGTTGATGATGGGATTTGTCAGTTCAATTTTTGAAAAAAATACTAACATGACTTAATTAATATTTTTATAGTTTTAGAATTAGAGATATGTTTATAAAGGGAATAGTTTTAGGTAATTTTTTATGTGTCTGCAGTAGTGTACTATAAGATAGAAGCAAAATATAAAACATTAATTAAATATTTATAATAATTTTTACTTTCGCCTATATGATAAATTTACTAAAATAAAATGTGAGTTGTATATTTTTAAATTGAGTTGCTCAGGAGTTGGGAGCATCTTAGAACATACTGATTTTAAACTGTTTGAACTTAAATTGAGTATGATTTGAAAATAAATTATGAATAATTTTTAAATAAGCCATAAATCTAGTCCATGTTTTATTCAAGAGATTTATTGAATGCCTACTATGTGATAGGTACTGTGTGAAGTGCTACAGATGGACACAGATAAAAACCAATCCCTGTCTTCAAGGAGCATATAATATATTTGCAGGAGAGAGGAAAAGAAGAGCAAGATTAGGGTTGCATTGATTAATGATAGAGGCAGGGAAAATAATTGAGAGCATGTGTTAATAATTGGGGCCAAGCAGTAAGGTAAAGGCAGTAAAGGCTTCCCTAAAGAAATTAGCTTTATAGTAAGTTCAAAGGGTGAGGTGTCATGGACATTGTGGGCAGCCATCTTTGTTTGCCTTGTTTGCAAAAAACTTTTATTAAATGATGAAGTGATTTATATACAAGCTTACAACTTCAAAAATAATACCTCCTTCAAAAGTTCTTAACTAGGCTGATATCCCAGCCCCTCAGGAGACTAAGGCAAAGTTCAGCCTGGGCAACTTAGCCAAGACTGTCTCAGATTTTTAGAAAGGGCTGGGGAAGTAGTTCAGCACACTCTGTGTTCACTTCTACCAAAATGACAGAAATGCTTTCTCACTAGGAAGGAATGGCTTTTGTTGAAACAAGAATACACAGAGTTGGAGATCAATATTTTGTGAGAGACTAAATTTTGTCCAACTCCCCTAACATACTGCATATCAGGACATGACCATGTAGTTCCACTGTTGGAGAAGTCAAACAAAACAGTGTGTTTCTTGGCAATAACTAAATGTGATTTATGCTTTTAGTGTGTCTGTTGATCCATTATTTTAAGAACATTCCTGTTTACAAGAAGCATCATTTTTATGCAGCTCTCTTGCCCTATTTTTTTCCTCACCATTCTTACATTCTGGTCCTCGTAAGTGTACTTTTTTCTTATTTAAATATGTCTTTCACCAAAGATCTTTGAGGGCAGTCTTACCATTTGCATCTTAAATGTGCCCAGAGACTTGTGTGCTATGGGGAGGTGGTAGAATTTTTAGTATTGGACCCTAGCTGGAAGAAGTGAATTCATTGGGGCATGCTTTTATTTTTTATTTTATTTTTTATTTTTATTTATTTGAGAGAGAGAGAGAGAGAGTGTGTGGTGTGTGTGTGTGGCCAGCTCAGCCCACCAGGGGGCGGGGCTGGCTGGCATGTGCTGGGGGATTGAACCGCGGTCCCTGATGCTTTGCCAAGCTTGTTCTAAGTAGGTGCCTTAGACCACTGAGCCATCTCTCCAGCCCCTGGGGCATGCTTTTAAATGGAACACTGCAACCTCAGTTTTAGCATCTGTCTGTCTCTCTCCTTCCCTCCCTGCATCTTCCTGGCCACCATGAAGTGGACCACTTTGCTCTACCACTTGCTCCTGCCATGATGCTCTGCCACACCACAAGATCACTGTGATGGGGTTTTATCTGATGTATTTTGTCACAGGTATTGAAAGCAGACTAACAGTGTCAGGGAATTTTCTAGGTACTTTGTGTATGAAAAGTCTCTTACTCTTTATCTGAAATGATCATTTGACATTACAGAGTTCTGAATTCCCACATACTTTACCTCAACATCTTGAAGATAGTATTCCACTGACTTCCGACATATGCCATATACTCTTCCTGATGAACATTTGGATTTCCTCCTGTAGCAGTAATTATGTCTTTGTCTGGTTACTTTTTTTAGTTGGAAAGTTAAGCTTTATTTTGATGCATATGAAATTATAACGAAGCAAGAAAATTAAAACTGAGTACAAGGCTTTTTTTGCTTTGTTCTACTCTGCTTCGTTTTGTTTTGTTTTGAGACAGGGCCTGTCTGTGTCGCTCAGGCTGAACATGAGCTCATGATGTAGTGTGAACTTTTTGGGCCCTGGATTGCCTTTCAACTCATGAGTTTCCTGCATCAACCTCCTCAGTACAGGGATTATAAAATAGGCATGTGCCATCATGCTTGGATCTTGTAAAGCTTCCTAATAACATAAAAATATTAATCATACAAGAAAACACTGATAAGCATAGACTTACAATCTGCTTTTTGAAAGACTTAAAAATGAAAATGAGTTATAAACTTGAAGTATTATATTTGTACATGATTATTTGGTTTATATATGCATATTAGAAAACTAAATTGCACATTCTCAATTTTTTAAAAATTGTACTTCAAAAAGTGCCATCAAGCTATTGAAAAGAGGGTGATCTGGGAATATGGCTCAGCAACATGGCACCTGCCTGGTATGTGTGGGGT